ACATGTCTGTATTATGAGCAACAGGCTCCGACATGAATGTTGTGTTATTAGTCAAAGAGGGAATAACCGTTTATTCTGAAGGAGAGGGACTGTCAGACAGTAGACATGTTTACACGGGCAGAATTTCTGATCCGATTAAATATTGATGGATCTGTAAATCTGAATCCATGGGCGCAAAATCGAATAATCCGATCATGGTGTGTGTATACATGCACCAAGTTTTATTTGGACATTCACAGAGTTGTCTGATTTCTCTGAAACAACCACAGAAGAAGAAGAAGAGTTGTATTTACACGCCGTAGTAGCTCACTCCATCCAATTCAGGATTTTCCCCTTGTTAACTGTCGTCACTAGATGGCGCCCTTGCTTACTTATTTTAATGTCGCAGATGTGACATCATTACGCTGTATGAATAATGAAACCTCCTGTACTGACCTCGATAAATAAGCCAAACGATAAAGAGTGAAGATTGAGTCAGGTTAGAAAGTCACGATCGGAATAAGTGTTTACAGGGACGCATTTCGGAATTATGATCGGCATAAACCACCTCTCTCAATCGGAATGAAATTTCTTTCCGATTGAGCCGAATTGGATTAGAGTTTTCTAGTCGATATGTTTACTTTACAGTTTTTTTTCCAAACAGGCATTTATTCCGATTATTTGCGCCGATGTAAACGCAGCTACTGCGATGTATAATCCCTGCACCAACGTTTGTTTTCTATCTTGTGAAGGAAACACGGGCGGCAGCTGCAGCTATCTGGTTAAAGGTTCTTGTTGTCCACTCAAGTTCTCTTTATGAAGTGGGCTCAACTGAGAACCGAGAGGAAACTCAGACGCTAACAGAAGAAGCCGTGAAATCCCCACAAACCCCGTGTTAAAGTGTCAGTTATCCCAGCTAAATTAAACATGCTAATTCAAATTCATCTGGTTGTTAGTAACCACAGACGACGCAACACAAACCATGTTAAGACGCCAAGCATAGATTAAAAACAAGGCAGTGAGAGATATTCTAGATTAGAAACCATTGCTGTTAATGATTATCTGCTACCAGAGATTAACTTAATTATAGTTAACAATTCACCCATAATCGTAAATACAGTCACACTAAATGTCAAAGAACTCCCCCACTGTGATCATATGAAGTCTTGGAGTTCTGTATCATTTGCATAATTAGGGGTGTGGCTAACTTAGCTGTTTACCAGGATGATTAAAGCTAATCTCAGTTAAGATAACTCAACGTTTCTTCGTTTCCAAAATAGAGACAGACATTTTTGGAACTTCTGAACTACAAGTCTGTAACTTACAAGCTGCTTTTTCACTAGGGGGTGTCTCGATACAACTTTTTATTTCACTTCTGATACGATACCGATATTGTAGCCTTCAGTATCAGCCATAACCAATATCGATCCAATATTGGCACAAACTTGGTTATTGTAAAGTGTTACCAAGTACTTCCACATGGCCGACGTCACTCCTGCTCCTCTCTACTTTGTTAGTATCTTAGTTCACACTGTTGTTGTGATCATGTGGGCTCTACATGATGGATCTCGGTGCTGTTAGAGAGGGGTGCCGGAGTGGAGTCTGGAATGGACTGTTTGTATCGGAGTGCTGATATTGGAGATTTTAGATGCAAGACGATATTTTTCCACCATGTTTTAACTCCAGCTGTTTAGAGTGAGCTCAAGCTAAGCCCTCTAAGCGTCCACATGCCGAAGTGTCCTTGGGCAAGACGCTAAACTTGTCTTCCCTGTGTCTGTGCTCTCAGTGTGTGAATAGTATCAGTTATTACCGATGGAGTCTTTAGAGAGCGGCTGCTGTCATTACTGTGTGAATGTGAATGAGTGAATGTGACGGGTAATGTAAAAGTGCTTTGAGAGAGCTTATAGAGAAAGCTTTAAAGAAAGACATTTAGCATCAGCTGAGGCTCCAGAGGGGATAACACACTCCGACTGTGTTGGTCGTATTAAAGAGTAAGAGCAGCTCTTCATCAGTAGATGAGGTTACTCGGTTGTCAGGGAGACGGATCTGCTTTCAAAGTTCAGACTGATTTTGAGAGTCGCAGTTTGACATGAAGATAATTGAACAGCTTGTAGCCGGGTCTGGAGAGGGTCAAAGATGTTTGTCAAGGGTCGAGCAACAAGTCTCCGCCTCCTCGATCTGCATCACATGAAAACGATTTTAAAACGACCACGAGTCCAGACTCCTCGGTTTTAATTTGTGAGGACGACAGTGAGGCATCATGTCTGCTTTCTTTTCAACTCCAGGGTTACACTCGGGTTCATTATTTTGCTGGGTTTGTGACATTGTGAGTCAGTGTGTGTTTCCTCTGTAATTACACAAATAAGCAAGAATCATGTCCAGTCTGATTATTGTCTGTGCGTGGGTGTGGATACTAGGAGTGGGCATTTTAAGACGAGATTAGACAAGATATTTCTTTAATAGTCCACAATTTCACAAAAGTCCTTAGATTGACTAATCATATAAATTAACGATCCATCATTGATTTATTTTCTCATTCATGAAAAACTAAAATCAGGGAGATTTCCTGGGACAACTTTAGTCGGGGACAGGTCGTCCTAAGGGAGGACTGTCCCCCGACATCTGGGATGTCTGGTTACCCTACAGGACCTCCTCGTTAGCAAGGAGCTGATTGTAGGTTGAGACTGAGAGCAGACGGAGGATTCGTTAACCTCAGTCGGATGTTTGTGGTTTCAGTGGTACGTCATTGGAGTCGTCGTCGTGTTTTACTTGTACTTGACATCGCAGCGTTTGCAGCAAACCTCATCATTTTTCCGCTCTAAATGGTCCCCCACCACACTTCTTTTTCTTCTTTATTTTTTTGACCTCTACGGAAGCCCGCTGACCTTATCCTCTACCTTATTGCTTCAACACACTGACCGGACAAACAGGGTGTCCCTCCTGATCAGCAGAGGTCGATCTTTGTTTGAAAGCAGCTGAAGGACGGACTTAAGCTGTCGGCCCTGTTTAATAACATTAGATCGATTGAAATTTTACATAATCAATGTAATTCTTATCGATCATTAATCAATCATGCCACAATCCCAGTGGATACGTCATCGTCATTGTCGTTGTTTTCTTCCGCCTATCTGGGTCCAGACGGCCCTCACCCCGGCCACTTCCACCAGCTCCTCCGGGGAGATTCCCAGGCGCTCCCAGGCCAGGCGAGAGATATAATCCCTCCACCTGGTCCTGGGCCGGTTACGAGGTCTCTTCCTGGTGGGACATGTCTGGAACACCTCTAACGGGAGGCGTCCAGAAGGCATCCTAACCAGATGCCCGAGCCACCTCAGCTGACTCCTCTCGACATGGGGGAGCAGCGGTTCTCCTCTGAGATCCTCCGGAGTGTCCGAGCTCCTTACCCGATCTCTAAGGCTGAGCCCGGACACCCTGAGGAGGAAACCCATTTCAGCCGCTTGTATCTGCGATCTTGTTCTTTCGGTCATTACCCAAAGTTCATGATCATAGGTGAGGATCGGCACGTAGATCGACCAGTAAATCCAGAGTCTCGGCTCTTTCTTCACCACGACAAATTGGTTAAGCGTCCGCATCACTGCTGACGCCGCTCCGATCCGCCTCTCGATCTCCCTGCTCCATCCTACCCTCACCCGAGATACTTGAACTCCTCCACTTGAGGCAGAACCCCCCCTTTGACCCGGAGAAGGAAATCCACCTTTCTCCGACTGAGGACCATGACCTCGGACTTGGAGGCTGCGAATCAGTCCAGTGGATACGTGTCGAAGTAAATGGTCCTTCGTCCTGTTTTGTCTCTAAGACTGAAGATTTCAGCAGCTGTCTAACGCAGACGAGGATCAATAGGTCCTCCTGTTCAAACAGAAACACAGGACAGCGCTCGGGTTCGAATGAGCCGAAAGCAGATAATTACGGATGCTGCAGGGATCTCCTTGATCTCAGTCTTCAGAGATGTTTGATTTCATTATTAAAGAAGCCCCCAGCAGGACATGATTCTGATGTAAAGCTGCAGAGATTCAAACAGACCGGCTCACAAAGTCCAGAAGAAGAAGAAGAAGAAGTCCGAACTAAATGAGTCACAGAGGAGACGGTCAGTTTCCCCGAGGTTTTTTCTGTTTTGGTGGAGAACTTATCTGGCGCCCCCCTGCAGCATCGCAGCGAAGTTTCAAAGTATCGGTTCAACTGATTTTACATAATATCTGAGTGATTTATTCATCCGCCGTGACCTTTTTCTTTTCCCGCTCAGATTAAATATGCTGGGATGAGTCAGAGCTCTAGTGTTTGTCCACCATTGTCCAGCTGTGTGCATTTCACCGACAGTATGCTACATGATTACTCAGTATTAAAACGCTCCAATTTGCCAAAGTGCAAAAATTGCCAAGTGCGACTCAGGGCGTCACACTAAAAACTACAGATTGGTTTTAATGGCGGTGCAGCCCAGACAGCTGCTGCGGTTTGAGTTGGCTTCGAGGCAAAACTGTAGGCAGTGAGTTATGGAAATAAGACGGGGTGAAATGTTAAGATAGGTCATTAAAGCCAAATTATCGATTTGATAAATGCTGCACATGCCAGACGGGGCTGCAGTGTGACGAACACAAAGCAAAGAGAAACCAGATGGACGCCTGCGGCCCGCTGAGCGCCCCGACTGTCAACTCCTCAGGAGTTATTGAGAGAACAAGAGTTTACTCTTTTTTTATTTTTCTGCAAACTTCTTGTCGGCAGCATCAGTAAACTAAAGTAACGCACACAGAAGTCAAACTTTGCTCACTGCAGCTGCAACAACAACAGATACACACTGAGACTTTACCCACTTTGTGTTTGATCTCCAGTGAATATTTCCTTTATTTTCAGACTTTTCTGTACTGATTGTTGAGTTTTAATCACAGAAAAAACACTCATAACTGACACTCACTTCTGCACCTGAATGCATCCTGCACAAACTGTAGTTTATTTGTGATAACTCAACTCATAAAAAATAATATAAGTGGAATATCTGCAGGCCTCCTTACCTCTGAGTTGAGGCCGTTAAAGAGGTCCGAGGTAAACCTGAGGGGACCGATGATAAATAGTGTAAAGAAGGAACATGTCTTACTCAGCAAAAATGCATCCCTCTCTTTTTTTTAATCGAAGCTTTTTCTATTTCAGCGCTGTATCGTTACGGTCCCTAAGAAATCACTCAAATCCGGCCATCTGAGGTCACAGGGAAACTTTACCCCGACCCAAGATTGTTTGTGTTTGGCACCGAGGCTCTAAACTCCATCACCTCACAGATTAACTTCACATGCAGCAGCAGCTGAGGAGAGATCAGATAAATTTTAACCTCCTGTAGTCAGAGCCTGCAGGTTGATGCTGGAGGATTAAGGTGTGAGAGCAGCACTAATGTGGGAGGAGGATGATGAACGGCAAAGTTAAACTGTGAAATCTGGAAATCAAAGCAAAGTCATTAATAAATCAGCAGATGATGCTTTTTTCAGAGCAGACCTCGCATGTTTCAGTCAAACCACAATCTGCACTAATTACAACAGCATGGCTCTGCAGTAGAAGAGTCTCGTCTGCCTGAACCAGCTCACAGGCTTTTCCAAGTTTATTGTCTCTATTATTGTCACTGTTGTCTCACATTCAGAAACATAACAGGTCTCATTAGGGGTATTAAAGTGCCTCAATGAACCACCCAGTCCTGAGTCTGATGTTTGAGGCTCCTCCTACCTTTGAAATCAGAGCTGGCACAGCGATGCTCCTTTGGGACCAATCTCTTGCAGTGCAGCTACCATTAGCAGAGCTAGCACCACCCGCCTTTAGTCTGTCGGTACCAGATGTGTTCGGACTGTTAGATCTGGTTCCGACGGACTAAAGGCACCAGATGTGTTCGGACAGCGAGATCGGCTCAGGGTTCAGTGCCTGTTGAAGATGTCACACTACGGACAAACTGTGATCAGTTTGAAGCCCCTCGCGGTTTTCTTTTTTCCCGTTTGTTCATTCAATTGACCTCGAAATTTTCTCTCCATTTAATACAGAGAATTACAACTTACTGTACTGTAATTTTTAGATGTCTTTAATTGTTTCTGTTAAATTTTCTAAAGGAAAAAAGACAAAAAAATATACGCAGGCTCTCCGTTTATAAAGAGATAGTTTTGCTTTTATTTCACGTTTCCTTTGGCGACCTAAACGAGGCGGTAGTCCAGCTGTTGTAAGTCCTCTTTTTATAGCCTAACTAGTGATCGCTTTCTTCACATGAGAAACTGCTTACGTAATGTCCAGACCAACCACAATCTTCTACATCATCAAAACCAACTTCCAGCCAATCGTCATGAATAGGCGCCGGGCCCCGAGCCGATCCGGCAGCCCGAACACATCTGGTACCTACACTGGTGCCCATTTACACATTACTCTGGTTTGGTGATTATATTCATGTTGAGCAATTTTCTAGCCCTGAATACTGTGTCTGTTCATGTCCAGGTCGTCCAGTATTAAAGCTTTATGTCATTAGTAGCTACAGCTCCTGCTAGTGGTGGGCGATGGTATGACGTCTTAATCACAAGTTAGGATGTTTGATTAGTTTTTGCTGTTAGTATCAGATGATCTTTGTAGTCAGCTAAACACACGCCCCCTAGTGACAGGGAGGATATAAGCTTAAAATTATTTATTTATCTGATTTATGATTTTATTTAGCAGAGGCTTTAATCCAACATGACAAACATTAGATCTACTTCTAACTGAATCTCTGATTGTATTGTCCACATACACATTACACATTATATTGTCGCTGGTTATTTGAAGGTTAAGCGTTTTTCTTCTTCTACTATCAGTCTGTGAGGATAATTGTGCCACAGAATAAAAATAAACTTCTTACCTGCTCTGGGCCTCTTTAACGTGACTGACAGCTCCTCTTCTTACCCGCTCGGCCTCAGCTTCACCTCTCACTCCTGGCTGACCTTTTTTTAGCTCCAGAACAGACACCGTGACAGAAGAGTAAACTCTGAGCGCGCCGTTAATCATCGGCTCGGAGGAGTCACTCTGATTCTGTATCTGGCGTTCCTCTGATTGAAGTCTCTTTTGGCAGTTAGGATTCATCACGTTTGTCGCTCTGAGTAGATCTGAATTTGGCTCTGTGTACTTTGTGTTTCATGTTTGATACAGAAATTCATTCTCTCTCCGACTCATTAATGGAGCAGCTCTTCTCTCTGTGGCGCTCGGCTGTAGGAGGATTTAGGCCACGCCCACCTTCAGTCTGACGAGTGCAGGTCGAAGTAATCTTAATAATTTAAAGAAAAAAGCTGATTTCATTGTTTTTGTCGGTCAGACAATTGTAACTAATAAATATTATTTGCTCCTCAGATTTGTGTCAACTTTGGCGCCCCCTGTGGACAAGATAAGCACAGACTGCTTTGACCACAGGGGGCGCCAGAGATGACACAAATCTGTTTCTTTAGACGCTTATTTGACACCGATCTCCTCTCACCAGTTTTGAATATTGACAATAAGGATATAAATTTGGCGCTAATACTCTTTTAGATCATTAAAAGACAAAAACATGAATTTAAGTTTTGTTCATAAATATGGAAATTACAATTCATTACATTAATGTATGATACTTCCATACCTGATGCGTCTTGTTGAGGTGGTTTTGTTAGTTTATTTATTTTTTCCTGGTTTTGTAATTTAGTTGTATTTTCTCTGTATCTTCCTGAATGTTTCTATAATAATAACTAAACATAAGTAAACACTGTATTTGAACATTTTGGATGTTTGTCCATCTGAAGTTATAAGAAAAGAAATAAAAATCCATCATTCATGCGTACTAAAGTGAAGTTTCCACAGTTCTGCTGATTTCTCAATAACGGCTCAATCGTTCGACATCTAATCTTGTTTCAGAATGAACTGATATAAATAAACTAATAATGCAACAACACCGACAAACAGTCTTAACTGATGTAAAAGACTTCAGACACCAAATACAATCATGTTTAATATCTTCTTATCACCGAGAGGAGCTTTTGTCTTTTTTTAGTAAAGCCTTTAACCTTCAGGGTGTGTGTTGGGCGGCGTGGTCAGTGTAATATTCTGCAAATACGTTCCCACTCTTATCAAAACAGCATCCAGACAAGAAGTGCGTGTCAGCTCTCTGCCAGGAGCCATGAACGTTGGTTTCAGATAGTGGAGAAAAATCGCAGAATTACCGAGAGATTTTCAGCTTCAAATCCGTATACAGGTGGAAGGCGGAGCCAAGTTGTCTGTAGTTTATACAGTCTATGGGTCCAACAATTATAACTCACAAGTATTATTTGCTCCTGAGAGGAAGTTCAGATTTGTGTCAACTTTGGCGCCCCCTGTGGACAAGATAAGCACAGATTGCTTTGACCACAGTGGGCGCCAAAGTTGACACAAATCCCAGAAATACAGAGCGCAATTCGGCTTCAAATTCATATAATGACGGAAGGCGGAGCCAAGTTGTCCGTAGTATATACAGTCTATGGTAACAGCGCAGCATAAAGGAACATAGTTTACAAGTGAACCTGCTGAAACCCAAACTTTAAAATCACGTTTATTTTTCACAGACGGTCGAAGCTCAACAATCACAGAATAAAATCTAAATTAGGAGTAAATTCGACCACAGATAGTTTTGGGTTTTTTTGCTGCTGCTACGATCCAAACAGGTTTTCGGCTTTAACTCTTGCGCCCCCTGTAGGCAAAGACGTGGGTTTCATCCTGTAGATGTTCCCCCATAAGAACCGCTCTGATGAAAGAATCTCCTCCTGTTTACAGACATGGAAAAGTCGAGTTCAGTTACAGCTCAATTAGACGATTTAATCAGACTTCTGTCCATGTCTCAGTTTACAAGGAAGTATTGATGGACGTTATTGACAAACCCTCCAACTCATTACTTCACGGTTGTCTTCTAGTTGGCCTGTTACAAACCAACTCAAACATGTTAGCAGTTATCTGATGGGATGTAGGCCAAACAGAGAAAAACTGTCACCACAGCTCTGAACTTCTTCTTCATACGATACAACGACTTTATCCGCTTTTATCGTCCTCGTCGCCCAAATGACCCTCGAGGAGAACCCGCATCATTATATCTGACCCTGCAGTCCCCGTGTTTGAAGACCCGGACTGTTGACGGTTTGTTAAACCAGAAGAGAGCGAGACAAAGACGAGTTGGTATCATGGCGTCCTCTTATTTCCATCATTTATCTCAATTTCTGCTCCTCCCGTCGCAGCAGAGGTTGTCTTTCTCTCTTTGTCTGCACAGCAGGAACCTGGAGAACAGGAGAGCAGCGTTTCCATTAGGTTCGACCTCCCGAAATCCGTCACCAAAACACACACAAACAAACACACAAAGAGGGACACAAGCTGACAAACACACACACACACAGACTCACACACTAACATGTACCGCTGGCACAGAGACGGTCCCATGAATACTTTTAAGCATAATGTGTTTACGAGGAAGTGAGGAGGAGTGATTTTAGTAATGCATGTGTGTGTGTGTTTGTGCATGTGTGTGTGTTTGTTCATGTGCTCAGCGGACACACACTGATGTTCCTTTTATAACATTTCACAGTTGGCTGCTCGTATCGAGACAGGAAGGAAATTAACAGCTTGAGGTGTCTGAGTGATGCTTCTTCAGCAGCTTCTGGTTCCTCTGTGTGTGTGTGTGTGTGTGTGTGTGTGTGTGTGTGTGTATATGTGTGTGTGTGAGAGAGATACTGTAGTCCACTGACGCCCTCGCTCCTCCGTGAGTTATCGTATGTAGCTTTGGTCATTTGTCTGTTAAAGTTTAAAGCCAAACTTTGCAGAAGTTTTCAGACAGGCCATAACACGCTCCACCTCCCAGAGCACATAAGCTCGGCTTTCTATAACTCTCTCTCTCTCTCTTTCTTTCTCAGAGAGGAGGTTCATATTTTACTGCACGCTCTAAAGACAACAGATAACTACAGGAGGGCTGCCTGTTTGGGAAAAAAGAGAAACAGTGGAGTCTGGAGGTTATTTTCTGGAGGGACATCAGAGTGATCCATAACACACCTGCGTTTTGAGGATAATCTGTCTAAGCAGATGGGCTCTTACAGCAATAACTCACAAAAATCAATCTTCTAAGTATCAAATCCTCAATGTCTGTAGGCTTGAAAAGTGGCTCTGGAGGAGCAGCTTTACATCAGGAGATTCATGGCTCCAGTCAGCTCGGATTCGCAGAGATTCAGCGCGTGTTAAAACCATAATACACCACCGTGGAAATCATCTGCGACCCTGTAAATAGTCCGTGTTTCATCACGCGGCTAACTCACTTTTGATCCACTACTGTGTAATCGCGCTTTCCTCGCACTTTTGCATTTTTACCTTCCCCGTGTGTCCGTCAGAGACGGCTTTTCCAGAGGTGGACCGAATCACCGAGACATCATCCATCAGTTTCGCTCGGAGGCGTAGAGTCGGCATTAGCCGTGGTATCGTTCCAGTCAGAGATAAACAGACTCCAGAAGCTGCACATGAGAGTGAGCATACTAAGAGAGAGGATGAACTGGACAGACGGAGATGAAAACATCAGATATTTAATGACAATTCTGGCTGTCGAATTAGCTCTGAGTGACGTAAACGGTTTAAAACATGAATCAAGTTTCTGTTTAGATTAATTTTATCATTTGAAAAGGAAGAAACTTTCAATCACAGAGATGAAGTTTTGTCAATATTGGCTTTAGTTGCATAAAAATTGTGCAAAACCACCAACAAAACAAACAGGACTGATCAACGAAAAGGAACGTCAAAACGTGTTAGCAAGAGGCTACCAGGACGTCACTTTTACAGCCCTGTACTGTTAGGAAATGTTGGTATTTTTTACGTCCTCGCTTCGTCAGTCTAACTTTTTAACATTTATTTTCAAAGTTCAGTTTCAGAGGGACTTTTGCAAAACATCAATTTTATATGTGTCTAAGTGCAAAACATTATAATAACCGAGAAAATCCACAAAGAAAGGTCTCAGGTGTAGAGTGTGTCGGTAAAATATGACCTAGATAGAGAAATATCAGTTTTTGTATGAGGGTGTAAACTGTTTTTTTTCTAGTCCTTCACAAATGAACGAGACATGTACACTTCAAAAACTGAGGTCACCTCTGAGTTTAACTCGTTAGTCGAGGTTTGGAGTCAGTGTTATGGTCAATAATCAGACACCAGTAACAGCAAACTAACGCTATCATGCTAGAAATCTGAAAGTAGAATTTCAGTTCTACAATGATCGTGGTCTAGACCTGCTCTTGTTCTTCGAAAAGCATCTTGAGATGACCACTGTTGTGAATTGGTCCTATATAAATAAAATTTGATTGATTGATTGATTGAATTCCCAAGATAAACTGGACAGACCCGTAGATGTTAGCATGTAGGAGGTAGAAAAAGAGGTCGTCATTTCTCCGATATTTGCATGGATGCAGCCGGGTCACATGATGTTACTCAGTGGGTTCTGAAGAGAGGTTTACAGCGTCAGTGTGTTTGCACTATTAGATCACAGAGTCATGCATTAATCGCCTCTCTCCGTTCAGGTCCACTGCATGTTTGTATGAATCCCCACACTGACCCTCAGACCCTCAGAAAGGTGCAAAAATCTCCACAGGAGCGTCTCTCTTTCGGCTCCTGCAGAACTTTGTACTTTTCCACGGAGGATCTGTTTTATTCAGCGTGTTTCAAACACTCATAGATTCCCCACATCACAAGCCATTCCCTCTGCTTTTATGTCGCACCCTGGCCTCGCTGTACTGCAGCTCTGAAGCTCCGCCAGACGTATTGTATTTAGTCATGTATTGGCAAAGCAATAAATGAACAGTGGAGGAATGGATTTGGGAGCGGGAGCGGTTTGAGGAGCTGCTCCGAACGTTTTGACACATTTCTGAGTCACCGCCGCGGAGATTCGGCGAAAACCACTGAGAGTGCGGTCGTACTACAGCTGGTCTTACCTGCAGGAAACAGCTGAGGAGGTCTCAGGCGGCGGCGGCGGGTGTTTCATCTCTGTGGTCTGGTGCCGACCTGAGGAGAACCGTGTCACAGCGACACAGATGTACGCATGTAGATCTCCACAGAGGATACACCTGCCTGTGTGTGTCTGTTTACACTCGGGCAGGTGTGTACTGAGTGTGTGTGTGTGTGTGTGTGTGTGTGTGTGTGTGTGTGTGTGTGGATACTGGAGTCCATTAGATTTGCATGTGTACAAAGTGGGAGCCTGACAAATCCTTTTATATCAGAGTGTGTGTGCATGTGTGTGTGGGAGTGTGTGTGTGTATTTGTCTGGGATCACACATAGCTTTCAGACATGTTTATCTTCAACACTGGTGTGTGTGTGTGTGTGTGTGTGTGTGTAGTTGAGAGTGTGAAATCCCATTAAGCATGTTAAAACCCTCTTTGGCCTCCTGCCTGCTCAGAGAGAGAGAGAGAGCGATGCAGACACACAAACACACAAACACACACATGTATATATATCACACCTGTGTACGTGTTTGTGTGTTTTGTGAGCATGTTGTGTGTCAGCTCTCACAGAGGTGTGGTGTCAGGTGATGGTGGTGATTCAGTGATGTCGGGCTGAGCTTCACAGCATCAACACTGTCGTCTGGATCACAGCTGACGCAGGTTTCACCTCCTGATGTCCGTTGGCGTCCCGCTTCGTCTTTACGGAGTAATAATGAGGAAAATGACCGGAGTCGAGGTTCAGACAAACATTAATAACATTTATATGTACTGTATATAATAAAAAAATAAGTTTTGTTTGTCCCACAAAAATCACACCTACACATCATGTCCTTCTTCGTTTATTGATCTTTTGCTCGGCATTAAAACAGGCAGGACTCTGAAGTTAGGGCTGCACGATAAATCGGTTTTTAATTTTGATCAGATTATTTGATTATGACGATGTTAAAAAAATTAAAATCCTCAAATCGATTTTCCTCTCTATTATGTCTCGCTCCTCCAGGCCACCGTAGGCTCCTCAGTTCCCACACACACCAGAGTAAACAAACATGGCGTTTGTTAAAGAAGGCGATAATTTCGTGGTTAAATAGGACAAGAGCGAGTCAGTCGTGTGGAATTGGTACGACTTCACAGTTTCAGATGAAGAGTAAACCACTCCCCGCTGTAAAGTCTGTCTGAAGGCGGTATCAACCCGTCACCATGGAAACTAATTCAGGAGGAAACGCAAATGTATTTTGTCGTATCGGCGTTTTATCGTTTCATCCACACAATAATGGCGTTTCGTGTGACTGTAAACATGCTCTGTACTCTTCTTCCGCGTTACAGCACCACTTACTGGCTTGTCATATGTACTACATCGTTTTCAGTGGTTTGGTTTCGAGAGATGATAGAAAAACTTTTTATTTTTAAGGTGAAGTTTGGTGAAGTTGTCACTGAATAAAAAAATCAAAAATCAAGTTTTCACAAAAAAAAAATCTGGATTTTATTTTTGGCCCTAGTCTGTCGTGGACAATACTGCATGGCTCATAATCAGTGTTAGACTAATAACTTTTTTAATAGCAGTTACCAAAGCCAATCAGGAGACAGACTTACTTCTAAAACAAAAACTGAACTTCAGCTTTTTGGCGACTTACTGAGTTTACTTCTTAAAAGACAAAATATCATCGAGTAAAAACCCTAAAAGAAGAAACCTGTTCAGTTTCATCGGTATCAGAGTTTCCTCAGACAGAGTCCTGTAAAGAGTTAGAGTTTTGTTTTGTCTGAGTTGATCTTCTAAGCAGTTTACACGTGTGTGTCGTCTGCATAGAGATGACAGGAAGTCTCCTGGATGTCCTGGTCAAGACCATTAATATATAAAGTAAATAAAAGGGGTCCCAGGATCGACCCTTGAGGAACCCCTTTGCAGACTTGTAAAAGGTCTAAATTGTGAAATATTATGCAACAAAACATGACAGAGAAGCGTTGGCTCCTCCTCCTCCTCTGAGCCCGTCAAAGATGGACGGAGGTGGAAAATGCAAACAAATGCTGTTACAGCGGCGTGTAATTAATCACCCCGTCTGTCTCCCTGCCCTGAGGCAGCCGTTCCCGAGCTGTGGAGGAAGGAAATAGAAATATCTTGTTGACAGTGTTCTTATTTGATTTTACAGTCCGTAGAGAGGAAACAGAATTAATTCAAAACCAGCAGCTGTAAAGGTCAGAGTTCATTCTTGACCTGAGAATCGAACCGTCTCACCTGAAGGTCCTTCTCGAGTTTTACCTGAGAAACTTCAGCTCAGAGATGAAACTGCAGAAGTGTTCGTAGTTTGTAATCTTCAGTTTCTAAGGAGGATGAGGAAGTAAAAAGAACAACACGTATGATTTTATGACACGCTTCCTCTCTGGCGCTCGATCACCCTCATTTTTCTCGCCTCTCTCTCTCTCTCTCTCTCCGACTCTCCCTCTCATCGCCGCCTCTTATCTTCCCTCCACTCCCCGCTCTCGTCTTTTCTCTCTTCTCCTCTCTGAATACTAAACGCATTACGTAACCATACATCGCCTCGCCACAGAGGATCATCCACGGCATCTCGCATGTTCACATCCCTCTGCAGGGGAGTGACAAGTGAAGCACCGCGGGGCCGAGGGAGGGAGATTTATATCAGCCGTGCCTATTATTCTGTTATAACCCACCGCGCTGCACAGACAGACACAGACAGACACAGACAGACACAGACAGATGGACACAGACGGACAAAAAGAGACAGATGAACGATAGAAGAGCTGGCATTATTTTCCCCGTTTTGTCCCACTTCCCCTCCCGTACACCGCAGAACATCTCTCTCTTTCCCTCTCTCTCTCTCTCTCTTTTTGTGTCAACACCACAGGCTGCAAAACAGGCGGTGGAATATTTCTATAATAGAAATGTCCGTCACGCTCCCTGTTTCCATATCTCGTATAGAAACGTCCATCACGCCAAGTCCGGGCGTCAGCTCAGCAGCCCTCCTAAACCCTCCACGCCTGCTCCTCCTCTTTTAAAACCTCTAAGGCGGAGTTTAGAGGCGAAAGAAAAAGACGTCACTCCATCAGGAACGTGGGAGTTTGTGCGACGTTGAGAGGGGAGGGTCGTAAAACAGACGGGTGAGAGTGGAAGTCAAAACAAATTATGTTCTCGTAGACGCCTTTGAATCCGACGCGCATTGACTCGGTTTCCTGTCGTGAGAGGTGTAGCTGTGTTCGCCTGGAGCGAGCTGCTTTTTGATCCGTCTCCTCGCTCTCCCTCTCCTTCCTCTTCACTTCTCTTTGCTCTGTAATCTAATCTACTTCACATGACTCACTTCCATCGATTGCACAAACCTCATGTGTCATTTGCGCCCCGCTAAGTGCATGTGTGAGTGCATATATACACCAGGGGCGCGAGGAGTTTCGTACCGCCCTGAACCGACGGCGTAATAAGGTTTGATGCGAGGTCCCGCGACGCTGGGAAAAGATTAATTCTCCCCGAGCTTGTCCACGGTTTGACATCTCGCTGTCCCGGGGAATCAATACGATTCATAGTAAA